TTATCCCCCGTTTATTAATAAGGGTCATAAGGTATTAAATAATGACAGTAAATGGTGTGTTGATAAGAAAAAAAACCCATCGCGGGCATACCAATTATGAAGAGACGCTATAGAAACGACTTTCATAGGTGTATTTTTTCTGCACGGTAGGGTATTAGGGCCACAGAATACAGAAAGAGGTTAAAAGGGCTTTGTGGGCGGGGAAGGCGCGCCAGAGGTATGTGTGAGCAAATGCTCATAACTTGAACAAAACTTGGTTCTGATTGAGTCGTTGCTCTTGGCTGTGAGCGCAGATTGGTTCGACTGTTTGATGCCGCGTCGTTTGATTGGCTATTATCCATTAGATGGAAGTGTAGTGACGGCGAGCCCGCGAAATCGGTTCTTGTACAAACGGTCTATGATCACAATTCTAACCTCTTTCTGTGTTTTGTGATTAGGGCCTACCACAAAGCACCGTGTGTTCTATAGGGTCTACCATAATACCCTATCTACCTATTTCGCTTAATTTACAAAGCGAGAGTGATACTCTAGTATTGAAAGCGTCCATTATCTACTATCAGACCATAACAGTTATTTATGCAACTGTTGTATAATGAGGGATATTAAAACACGAATGTGGGATAATAGTATGACATGGACTTGTTAATACCTAATTAAAAACAGTTGCATACAAGACTTCATCTACACCCATGATATGAATCTTCTATAAAAGATTCTGAAACCATCGGGCGTTCTAATTTCTTAAAATTCATGAAAAGTTTCGGCACTGCGGTAGTACAATGCGAGCGAATGACAATGGTCGTTTTTTTTTAATTAAATTCATAAAAGGTACCACATGAATGAATAAACGTACAGTCAAAGGTACCACGTATCGAGCAGTGAAAATTTTGGCTGTCTGATGGGAAAACTGCGTGGAAAGGATCGAAAAAGCGAAGGAGTGTTATTATAATGAAATTAGGTACAACATTGTATCATCCAAACGTATGATATTTTGTTGGGACATTGGATGTTCTAATGTTGGCAGTAAGCTGTTTCTTAAGCAGATTCTTTTATAGAGCTTTTAAAACTGGGTTTAGATAATTCAATAAATCAAACCTATACTAGGTATAATTTTTATTATTTTAAAGCATGTAACTGCTTGATGTTTAAATCTAAAGAAAATATAACTACCCGCACCCTTCGCAATCCGGGCGAATGCACTGACCAATTATGCTACCGCAGCCCTCACGGACCGCGTCGAAATTCTTCTAGCCATTCTTAATCTGCAAGGCAGCGCCATCTCTTCGCATTGTAGGTAACCCACAATGTCAAATGAATACTTTTACAAGTATTAAACATTTGAAAGAAGAAATAGCAATTATAGTTATAATTTTTATTATTTTAAAGCATGTAACTGCTTGATGTTTAAATCTAAAGAAAATATAACTAGAAAAAAATCCACGCGGACCAGGCAGCAGACGGGACTCGAACCCGCACCCTTCGCAGGTACCTATACTAGGTATGACAATCTTCTTACATAACAAAAAACATAATCAGGGAAAAGTATATAGATCAGAACGGAAAACAAAGAGAGCAAATAAAAATATTGAGTTACCATTTTCAGCCGGTGGTGCTTCTGCGTACTGAAAAATAACAAAAAAATAAAAATCAACTGAATACTACGGAAATTCAGCTGCTTTCGGTCTAAAATTTCGAGTATTTTGGAATAACTAGTATGAGTAGAGTGGGAAAATGGATTGGATTTCGGAAAAAGAGGTAGACTAAACCTTTAATAGTTAAAGGACCTAAATACACACATCAAAAGTGTCTAGGGATCAAGCATTTTTATGCGGATTTCTTGAGATTGAGATGTGGCTTTGTAATAAATTTATGATTTTATAAATTTATATGGATCCTTTTTGGTGCATTTCATAATTTGAATCAGGAACTGTGAATCAAATTCGAGTAAAAGATGAAAATCAGCTGTCAATATTTTCCCTATAAAAACATACAACGCATTGAAGACATTATTAGTGCTACTGTTTCCCTACTACTGATTAAAACCAACGTTATTATGGAGCGGCGACGTCATTTAAGCAGGGAAGAAATGCTCAGAGCCGTGGGAATGATAGAAGCTGGTTCCCGGCAACGTACTGTGGCTTTAGCTCTGAATACAAGTCAGAGTGTTATCAGTCGACTTTGGACACGATACCGAAGCACTGGTACCGTGGCTGAGCGCCATGGAGGACGGTATCGCTGCACCACACGGAGACAAGACCGATACATTCAAATCTTAACTCGAAGAGCTCCAACAATAACCGCCATGATGTTAGCCGTGAGGCTTCATCACTCTTCAGGGAACTTAATTAGCGACCAAACAGTCAGAAACCGCTTGCATGAAGTGAACCTTCATTCCCGAAGACCGCTACGGGTACCACCTATAGCAATGCACAATCGTAGGATTCGATATCAATGGGCTCTTGAACACAGAAATTGGGCAGAAGAACAATGGCGTTTCGTGTGCTTTTCTGATGAGTCTCGTTTTGGTATGAGACCGGATACAAGACGTATACGACACTGGAGAACCCCTGGACGCCAACAGCGATTAAAATCCTGCCAGGAAGTCCATCCTTATAGTGGTGGAACCATCATGGTATGGGCGGGTATTTGGATCGGCGGAAGAACTGAGTTGATTTGGATCAGAGGCAACCTCAACGCTCAAATTTATGCTGAGACGATTGTATCAGACGTCATCGTTCCTCTACAAGTGCAAATCGGTCCCTTATTTCAGTTAATGCATGATAATGCACGACCGCACACCGCAAGAGTTGTAAGACAGACTCTCGCCGCAGCTAACATCAATGTCCTGCCCTGGCCTGCTCAGTCGCCAGACTTGAACCCGATTGAGCATGCATGGGATATGCTACAGAGAAGAGCTCTGCCGAATATGGAGGGTATCCAGTCGCAAGAAGACCTTTTTTTGTTGTTGCAACGAACATGGGCGGCCATTCCACAGCGTGATTTGGATGAACTCATTTTGAGTATGCCAAACCGATGTTCTTGTGTTGTTAGTGTTCGCGGTAGAAATACGGATTATTAATTGTTTAAGTTACCCAATAAAATTTTAGAGAAAACTGTTATTTCAGTCTTTTTTTCGAACTTTTGTGTTAGTGGTTCAAATGTCAAAAATCCCTTTATTAGGAAAATGGCAAATTTCTTTATTAATGCAAAGGTGACTTGGTTTATCGTTACTGTGACAAACGAAAACACTTTATTTGATAAATCCTTAAAGAAAATTTTAATTAATATCAATCAGGAGAAAAGTTATTGCAAAAATATATGTTGATCCCTAGACACTTTTGATGTGTGTAGTTTACAAAAGAACTCATATCTCAAAAAGTAAATTAAATAAGATTGTAGTTCACTTATTAACAATCACTAAGAGAACTTTTCTTAAATACAGTACCTACCGATAGAGAGGATGAATTAAACGTATTTTAGTATAAGTTCTCTCAAAACAATTTATAAGAAAAAAGGAAGTTAAAAACTTACAATTTGTGCGATTACTACCGCAAGGGTAAAAACGACCAAGAAACACATGTTCTTACTCATGGCTGTTAATTTTTACTTCAGTCACCGTCACTTACTGATATTGTAAGGAAACCGACTGGATTATATATACTATATTGGCTCTATTGTTACATCTCCTGACAAAGGGATAAAATATGACAGTTAGTATGGAAATTAGGCTAATGGTAGGCATATTGGTTAATGGACTGCACGGATGGACTGTAATTGAAATTTCAAGGAGTACCTACCTAAACTAATAGCTGAAAATAGAATGCTAATCAGTTGTTTTTTTTTCTAAGTCAATAATGATATGATTTTGTTTTTAAATGGAATATATCTTTAAAAAAAAGCAGTGTAAGTAGATACGTTTATTTGCCTTCCGTAGTTCTGTTGATCATAATAAGAAGTCATAAGTTTAGTAAGTATTTTCCTGATATTTTTGTTTTTAGACGGGTTAAATATATTTTTCTAAGAAAGAGGGTAGCTATTTGACATTGTCATTTTTTCACGATTCAGGGACTTTTGTCCTCCGTGGACAAAAGTCCCAGAATTGTGAAAAAATGTCCATCGTGGATTTGCTACGGACAATTTAGAGAAGCGCACTAGGGATGTTCATGTATAATAAATATCGATATTTTTTTCAATACAATATATCGAAGTGTTATATCGATATTTTGCGATATATTCTACATATATATTGATATGTTAAATATATTATTCGGTTGTGGTTTAATAAATTCATTTTATTAAGTATTAATCTGCTCAATTTTTAAATCTTAAGAAAGAATCCACTAGGTCAAGGTATCACGCTGAAGGGCAGAGGCACTGACCGCTATGGTACGTAATCGAATTTCTTCTAGTATTTTTTAGGCTGCAAGACAGGGCCACCTCTACGAATTGTAGGTAAACCACAATGTCAAATGAATTTAAAAGTATCATAACATTTGAAAGAATAAATAGCAATTGCTATTTTGTTTGTTATTATATTTTTATTAAATTTTGATATTTAAGCATAAATCTGCATGATTTCTAAATCTAAAGAAAAAACACTACAAAGAATTTTAATCGGTCAAGGTGTGTTAGGCAGGATTTGAATTTGTCTGCGTCTTCCACTGTCGATAAATCACGGACATAAATTGTATAATGTTTACTACAGGGAGTAGTGTTTGGTTATTGTGAAAGCTAATTTTTCAATAATTTGGGGTTTTACGTGATATTTTCCGAATCATTAATAAAATTTATAACTAGGAATAAAGAAAAATAAAGGTAAACATAAATGTTTTTTACTTCTCATTTCACAATATTTGGTATTTCGGATGAAATATATCGATTGTACATAACGAAACTAGATGATAGATGGTTCCATAACGTGCACTCCTAAAGCGCACGTTATGGAAGTAAATATTCACAGATGATGGATATTGACGAAGTTTAAGAAAAAGAAAAGACTTTTAAAAGAGAATACTCGATCCATCTCTATAAATCGGAGCGAGCGCGCAACGCTGACTTGATTTCGCTGTGTGTGTTTTGCTGCACCTGAGTTCTATTTTCTTCGGGGTCTCCTGCGTATCTACTTTTATTCTGTCTGGTCTTTCGGCGTCCTTGGTTATTCGGGGACTATTCGGGTGCGGTACTTTTAATACCGCATGTGCCTTACTCGATGCAGCTGTAAGCGGTTTATTTTGTTAGACAAAAAAATCCGTGGACTAAAGTCCCTCGTGAGGGTGTTAAAGGTGTGCTTTTTGTTTAAAATAGCTGTTGTTCTTTGACGCCCAACTCCGTAGGTGAAATCAGCCAAGTTCTATGAATTGAGAGCCAAATAAGTATTGGGTTCGAATCTCGGCTGACTCCTGCTGACGCAAACAGATTTGTTCCTAAATAATTCTCTTAAGACACTTATAAATATCTAGCTAATAAAAATTTAGGTTTCAATATCAATTAATAAACCACTTTTTTCAAATTACATGTTATATAACCTCTCGTGTTTATTAAATTCTCTAGTATTAAAAAGTTAATTATTATGTCACACAGAACGGTCCGTCCATCCGTGGAGCTCTCTTCTATATTGCATTCTATTTTACAATGTTTTATTCGATTTTAAGCACAGAAGACGTGACGTTCTTTGGTTGATTTCTATCTTCTGTTCCGATCATAGTCAGAAGGTATGCTGTTATGTAGACAAATGTTGAGACAGCAATGCTGAAAGTCGTAGTGCTGCTGACAATCAATACTCCATATATCGATAGCTGCACATCCCTATACTCCAGGGCCCGCAAAATGTTCTTGGTCAGCGTCAAATTTGTTTCTGATGAACAAACAATAAATCGCTTTATCACAAACCAACTGCAAGCAAATGTATCAAACAAGTACTGTACAGTTGGGTCAATTTCAACTTGTCCGTCAATTAGATTATGAAAAAATTATGGACACATATGTTTTCTTTCGTCAATCAACCTAAAGTGTTTGGGAGTAGGGGCTCGTGACGTCAGTTCTAAGTAAAAATTGTACCAATACGTAAAGTCTTGTGACATTTCAAATCGATATATCTCTGTAATGTTTATGTGAAAAAATATGTGTCCTATGTTTTTATGATAATCTACCATAAGGACTAAGAAAAAAAGTTAGTCATCATCCCTATTTAATAAGATACGTACCTGAATTGTTTTCTGTTAATTGTACATAGGTACATATAAGTTTGCATTGGTCAATTTGCTTAGGAAATGTATCAATCATAGAGGTTACCAACAAGCAGAATAACCAAGAAAGTATCACCCATGAAACTAAGATCATCTGTCTGAAATAGTTGTCGCTCTGCAAACAATGAAGTAACAAATTTAAGTGTTTGCACCATGTTGTATGCACAAGTTGCAAATTAATAAGGTACGAATTTATCATTATTATTTAGTAAGTAGGTAAATATTTGTGATTTTGAACATTCATTTATCCCGTGTTTTCGGGGCCGTAGGGCCAGATTTAAAGATGTGAAGGCCCTGGGGCAACGAAAGGGTGGAAACCCCTCTCAGGGCGTAATTTATCTTCTGGCCACTAACGATTTGCACTCCTCCTCCCGATTCCCTTGATTGGCGACCCGTCAAAGATTTTTTTATCTCTGTTGTTCGTGAACGCTCGACAACAGGACAGCACTGCCACTTCGCCTACCGGTCGCTATTATAAATTTAACAACATAATTTTATTTAATCGAAAGAAACCACCTACCTTTTGATGATATGTGATAATTCCTAGTACTATTAAGAGAGTACCAAATGTGAGGCATACCACACCAACGAGAAACTGTAAATATAAAATGAAGAAAAAAGTACTTAATGCAAACTTAAAGCATAGCTGTAAGGTCAATTTGCTTTAAAAACGGGTTCAATGCGATTCAAATAAGAATAGGAAAGCCAATGACCTCCATCTGTCAAATGTCGCTTGAAAAGTACGGTTTGAAAAAAAAATTCTTGGAATACTTCTTTTTGCACTAAGCTAATCTTAGAATAAATACCAAACATTTGTAAACAAAAGAAGGAAATAAATCATAAGTAACGTATAGAAATAGAGTACTGGAAACGGGAAGTTTCAGAACATTAGCTTTATTTATAATAATACAGGTAAAAAGACCGTTTTTATTTTGAATAAAGTTGTCGTTTTTAAACCTACAATAATCGATATTTTATTTTATAACCAAAAGCAGCAGTGATAATGATAACGTTGATGATGATGACTACACCGACGGTAGTGCAGAGATGAGCGAAATTAAAGAGCTAGATTCTGATTAATGTTTTTTCTCACTCAGTCTTTATATTATTATTTATTTATCAAGACTGAGTGAGAAAATACCATATTTTTTATTATAAAAAATCTGAAATGTTTCTCACTTAATCTTGGTAAATAAGTTTTATTTAAGAAAAACTTTTGCTCACTCTACCTAACTGGTTTGAATTGACAGCTATGACGTCACAATATGGTCGGTCCTATTCTTAGTTGAATCGCACTAAACTACTTAAACGAGTGACTGTAAATAAAAAATTTTAAGTGACAAAAATACTGAATTATTCAGTTTCAGTTAACATTAAAACCAGTGTTGAATAAGCCTTAAAGAATAAGAAAAAATGTCTAATATAATTTAATGAATGCTTACCCTGAAACGGAAACTTCGTTTAAAATATTGGAACTGATCGCAAATCAGTGTAAGTGCCTTCAACAGTATTTTTGAGTCTGCAAGGGATCCTACTTGTCTATCATAATTTCCCTTCCAAAATACTGAACAAAATAAATTAGTTGGTATATGATCCATTTCAATATTCATTGTTTTCATAATAACGATATTTAGGTATTTAATTCTAAGTGTAATGAATAAATACTGGCAAATAACTACATTGAAGTCATAGAACAAAATTAACATCCAGAAGAAAAATAAATTTGCGGCGTAATGGAGTGAATATAATAGTTTGAATGAAAGAAGCAATAACATCAAAAGTATTGCATGTATCAAAAAGCAAAATAAGTTTAAAATAAGAAATGTTTTTTCTTCCAAGTTCCTTAAAAATTGTGTCTCCTTCTTTCCAAGCAACATGTCGATTTCAATGCAGTTATTTATGAGTTCAATTCCAATATCTCTATTTACGAAAGTAATATTCATTATGTCTAAAATTACTAATACTGATATTTCAATCAGTATGACAAGTTCAGCGTAAATAACCGAATCCTGAACTGATGTGGTGTACAGTATGTATCCACAAGTACTACACATGAATATTAGTACAAATACTCCATAAAAAATAGAAGTTGTTGGTCTCTTGACTATTTCTCCATTTTGTGTTGTAAATCGATTATATCCGGAAGCTCTCAAAACTAAATGTGTAATATTGCCAAATCTTCTGGCATATTCTCTTCTAAGTTCTTGTTTTTCCATATATTTAGTAAGCATCTTTATAATATTTAAAACGGTTTACGTATATATACTACCCAAAAATCAACTAAAATGAATGATAATTTTAAATTAATTAAATTGAAACCCCTCGATTCCATTGCATGATTAAAATCAAACAATGCATTATTAATAGTAGTAGTTGGAGTATCTGGAACTTTTTATAATAGCTGCTATAAGCCTTTTTTAAGGGTAATCGATTCAACTAAATTTCAATAAAACCACATAGTTTGATATCTTTAAATTAATCCCAAAGGATTCGTAATGACTATGATAACTGTTACCGGCCAAACACGATTTCAGGACAAACTAGTTTTGCCTCGGCTAAACTAGTTCTTCCTATACGCAATAGAATTAACCAGTTTAGCCTAGGCCAAACTAGTTGATCCTGATACAAATACATGCGCGTACTCTAGGATAAACTAGTATGGCCTAGTCTTAACTGGTTAATTCTATCGCGTATAGGAAGAACCAGTTTAGCCTAGGCCTAACTAGTTGATCCTTACACAAATACATGCGCATACTGTAGGATAAACTAGTATGGCCTAGTCTTAACTACAGACAGACAAGTAGGATCCCTTGCAGACTCAAAAATACTGGTGAAGGCACTTACACTGATTTGCGATCAATTCCAATATTTTAAACGAAGTTTCCGTTTCAGGGTAAGCATTCATTAAATTATATTAGACATTTTTTCTTATTCTTTAAGGCTTATTCAACACTGGTTTTAATGTTAACTGAAACTGAATAATTCAGTATTTTTGTCACTTAAAATTTTTAATTTACAGTCACTCGTTTAAGTAGTATAGTGCGATTCAACTAAGAATAGGACCGACCATATTGTGACGTCATAGCTGTCAATTCAAACCAGTTAGGTAGAGTGAGCAAAAGTTTTTCTTAAATAAAACTTATTTACCAAGATTAAGTGAGAAACATTTCAGATTTTTTATAATAAAAAATATGGTATTTTCTCACTCAGTCTTGATAAATAAATAATAATATAAAGACTGAGTGAGAAAAAACATTAACCAGAATCTAGCTCTTTAATTTCGCTCATCTCTGCACTACCGTCGGTGTAGTCATCATCATCAACGTTATCATTATCACTGCTGCTTTTGGTTATAAAATAAAATATCGATTATTGTAGGTTTAAAAACGACAACTTTATTCAAAATAAAAACGGTATTTTTACCTGTATTATTATATATAAAGCTAATGTTCTGAAACTTCCCGTTTCCAGTACTCTATTTCTATACGTTACTTATGATTTATTTCCTTCTTTTGTTTACAAATGTTTGGTATTTATTCTAAGATTAGCTTAGTGCAAAAAGAAGTATTCCAAGAATTTTTTTGCAAACCGTACTTTTCAAGCGACATTTGACAGATGGAGGTCATTGGCTTTCCTATTCTTATTTGAATCGCATTGTACCCGTTTTTAAAGCAAATTGACCTTACAGCTATGCTTTAAGTTTGCATTAAGTACTTTTTTCTTCATTTTATATTTACAGTTTCTCGTTGGTGTGGTATGCCTCACATTTGGTACTCTCTTAATAGTACTAGGAATTATCACATATCATCAAAAGGTAGGTGGTTTCTTTCGATTAAAAAACATTTCGTTGTTAAATTTATAATAGCGACCGGTAGGCGAAGTGGCAGTGCTCTTATGGTCTTAGGTTCGAATCGTGGGCGGTAGGGAGCATATTTTTGGGTGATGAGCAGGGCCGGCTTTAAGTCAGGGCACGTGGAGCTGTTACCTCACAACAGAGATAAAAAAAATCTTTGACGGATCACCAATCAAGGGTACTCTAGGATAAACTAGTATGGCCTAGTCTTAACATTATAGTATATCTAGAAAGTCAAAATAAATAGATAAACTGAATAAAATACTCCGTAATTGAAATAATATTTTTTATTAAAACGATAATGCTTCATCGTTAAAAGTTATGGACAATTAGTAATACAAACAATCAGACTATAACAGATAATATGTGTTTTTTTAATAGAAGCAATAATCATATCTCAATTATTAAAATTGTTATTTATTTTAACATGGCGTGCTTTGGTAGCACTTAGAATTGCAGAGTATCATTGCCTTCTTGGCTTCTTGAATTGCAGAGTATCATTGCCATCATTAGCATCTGTTTGTGGAACAGTTTTTGTTGCAGTTGCATCTCACAAAACAAAAGGCCTATTACTTATGTGTGCGAGTGTACCCATCCGCAAACACAGTCCTTCCACTTTCTTAAAGCGTTCTTTTTACATGACGCGACCTGTACAAGTCCTGACATGTTTGTTTAATTACTTTCGACTCTGCTATATTGGTTTAGACTAGGCCGTACTAGTTTATCCTACAGTGTGCGTATTTATATCAGGATCAACTAGTTTGACCTAGGCTAAACTGGTTTATCCTATCGGGCTTAGGATAAATAAGTTTGGACTAGGCTATTCTAGTGAATCCTATCACATATAGGAAGTGCTAGTTTAGCCTAGGCAAAACTAGTTTGTCCTGAAATCGGGTTGGACCGGTAACAGATACATTAAATTCATTTCAACGCGTACACATTATAGTATAATTTTAGCTGTATACATAAATATGGCACATTTAATTGGAACATAAATCTGGCATACATCATGTGTACTAGTATTTGTAACAATCAATAATAACATCATCAATGGATACATATTTTTGTAACTTTCAAATGTATGTATACATCTTTTTGGAGTCGACTGTACGTCCACTCGACGACAAATCCGACGGCAACGCCCCGGCCAGCTTACTCCCAGGTATTGACAATGTAAACGGGGAGACGGGTGACGGATAGACGTAAGCGGGTGGACGGCTAGACATCAGCTGGTGGACGGTGGTGGTAGGCGTTGATCACTCGGAGCCGGTGGTTCGAGAGCGGGTTCCGAGCCGATACGATCCCGTCACTGTGCTGATTAGTGTGTATAATACAGCATGGAATATTATACAAAGAATATTGGACGATATAATTATTCACTTTTTTACGTTTCTATGGTTTTATGATATTTGACATGTTCTATGATGTTTACTTTACAAAGCCGGTCTTTCATCATATCTTCTTCTTCGAGTGTTTCTCCAAATAGTGAAGGCTGACAGTCAGCTCCGCATATTTCACCCGATCTTTGGCGAGGTTTAAAAGCTAACTTGTGTGTGATTCCGGTCTATTATAGGATAATACGTAGCCACGACTCCTTCCCCCTTCCAACAGCTCTTCACCCGGCCTCCCTGCCTATAATTATCAACTAAAGAAGCCCGTATCTGGAGTGCTTTTATCATATAACTATTATGAAATATTTTTTTATAAGAGAATAACTTTAGTTACTGAACTTTTTAATAGATACAAATATCGCATTCTTAATTATTTTAATTGCTAATTTTTCGAAACACAAACTCAAAATATTGTTTTCAGTTTTGGCTTTTGTTACAAGCACTCAAGAATGTCTAGAAGCTACACTGTAAGTTCGTCAATCTACGGCGGGAGACCTTGTACAGAGAACTGGCGAGAAACTCAACAAGGGTTGATTTTTCTCCCAGTATCTGTCACCAACCAAGTCGAGCAAAAAAGCGGCGAAATAGTTCAGGCTATTGTCGACCCCCCCCCCCACTCCCCCATAACTTCGTAGTAAATAAAATTAGAAGCCTGAATTTTCACTAACCAAACAGACATTGTATAAACACGGTATATTTGAAATTTCATTCAACCAGTACTTTAAGAATTATAACTACTTAGTAAAAGTTTCTTAACATTGTCACTCACTGACTGACCGGTCATCAAAACTCTAAAGCGCGTCTAGCAGACATAGAAACTTCAAATTCAGAACACAATTTGTATTTAGCGTATAAATCAAGGAAAACCTTATAGTCCAGTCATTATATACATTTAAAAGTGAAAATGAACCGAGAAAGCCAAATTTTGGATATCACGTGGGGGGTGGCTAGAAAAGCTTAAGTTCAAATTGTCGACCAAAATAACCTTGTGCAATTTCCGCCATCTTGAAAAAACCCTTAAATTCAGTTTTTTCATCATAACTCGATTCCCCGTTGAGATACGAAATATTTTATAGAATACTTTTTTGTTGCTCTTCTTGCGATCTACAATTAAGGTCCCATGCATTTTTCACGTATCGATCGTCGTTTTCGAGATATCGATCAAGAAATCAAAAATTTGGGGAGATTTTTTTTTTTCGCTATTTACTTTTTTCTGGTGAAAGATATCGAAAAATGTTTAAAATAAAACTTGTAGAGCGTGTCCAGACCTACAAATTCGTTTTTTTATTTTTCATTTCCGACAAAAATTACGACCTCTAGCGCGCCACAAAGTCAGTGAAACTGTGCCCGGTTTTCATTTAGCCGCTCGCTCGGTTGTATCCACGCGTCAAACAATTATTGCAATACAAAAAAAAATCATAAACCAGCCAAATTAGAAATCAAATACATGAAATAATTTTTATGCAGCAAACATAACGATTACAAGTGGTAATTTTTTTCACACGTTTTTCGTCGTTTGGATGGTCCTGGCTGTTCAAGTTCCTCCTCCGTAGATTTTTGATATTTTTGATCGATATCTCGAAAACGACGATCGATACGTGAAAAATGCATGGGATCTAAATTGTAGATCGCGAGAAGAGCAACAAAAAAGTATTCTATAAAAATTTTCGTATCTCAACGGGGAACCGAGTTATGATGAAAAAACTGAATTTAAGGATTTTTTCAAGATGGCGGAAATTGCACAAGGTTATTTTGGTCGACAATTTGAACTTAAGCTTTTCTTGCCATCCCCCACGTAATATCCAAAATTTGGCTTTCTCGGTTCATTTTCATTTATTTCCCGATTTTTCCGACGTAATGACTGGACTATTAAATGTTTTGCTATTTCGGTCTTGTTTTCTAGATACACCAACTTTATAAATCATTACAGTTACAGTTGCAGCAAAAATAAGAAAAGCTGTTAGGAATGTGTTAGGAATGGAACGCAACCATGAATATTGTAGGTCCATCCATTATTTAATCTGTATGAGTTTCTCCGTTTTGCCGCTGTGCGGCGCTCACCTCGCTCTAAAATTGCCTTGTAACGTATGTACTCTGAATAAATTACGCGAAATAATACATAAGCTTGATTTATTGCTACTATTCCTTCAAAAGCTCATAAGACAGAGAGTGAGCTTTAAGAAAATCCGTTGTTGGTATTCAAGAAGGAGTAGGTACCGGAAAGGAAAAGAAGTAGGACTACCTACATAGAGAAATGAGATGCTATCAAAAACATAACTTGTAGAAAAAAACAAGTCCCACAACGCAGTTCTTCTCCTATTTTCATCCAATTTCTTTAATACAACGCATTCAGGAGATCTTTTAGCTAATACAAAAAACGCAAGATACTTTTTTTTTACTAGTTTATTGTTTTTTTTTTCTAATAAAGTTTTTCTTTTGATATATATAGCAGTTACAATATGCTAAAAATATATAATAAAAAGTAGGTACCAAAGGTATCACACCCGCCTTCTCGGCATGCACTAATGGGACCGCGGTCCTCATAGTGCGTGTCGAGTGATGGTGCAGTCTGGTCTTGTGGTACTGTTCAGGGCGTTAGGTAGGGCCCTGTTTATTTATCCCGGCCACAGGGCTGAAATAAACAGGGAGGAGTCCCACATACCTTCTTCTCGCTCCCCAGTGGTTGAAGGATGCGTAAGAGATTTCCCACACAAAAAAAAAATAAAAAAATGTACCAAAGGTAGGAAGGCAGGCAACGCGCGTGCCTGCCTTCATACAGTGGGCGTTTAACACCGGGCAGGTCATGAGCAGGGAGATATTATAGAGTATGAAGCTATTTAAGTAGGCTGAACTGACAGGACAAAGAGCTCGATGGCACAGTGGTTAGCGGGTTCGGTTTGTGACCGTGAAAGTTAAATACTTTCATATTTGTCGGGCATAGGATTGATAAAAAAAAACCTATGCCGAGCACGGAAGATGTCACTTTAAAGCCGTTGGTTTTGTCTGTATCTGCAGTTATTAGCACCCACCAATCTGCACTGAGCCTGCGTTCCGTCATGCCCTGTTCTTCCGATGTCGTACTGTTGTCTCCCCTGACAGAGCATTTAGGGGTGACATCAGAGCTTACTTTTAATATTGTATATTGAGTACTCGTATATCCTTTGTCACAGCTCTGTCATCTTTAGCCATACTGGTCACTTAAAAATAAATTTATCGCAAAATTTTCTATATACCCTTGGCTATTCCTTTGAGGGTAATGTACTGAGCAAGTAATCACTCCGTGCGGGTACAGTGGAAAATTAAATTTAACTGCTGTACCCTTGGCCATAAAACCCGACCAATAATTAGATCTATTTTCATAACATAAATGAAAGTTTTTTTTTCCCATTTTCATTGCCAGAACCTCTTTGTCATCTATGGTCTCCTGGTACATTTTTGACCTACATAAATGTTTATGGTTATAATGTAAGCTTGACAAGGGGATATACGGGTACTAAACATACAATTTTAAAAACGTAGAGCAGACATCGGTCGACTTTAGAAAAAAATTGATGTCTCACCTAGGGGGGTCCCCCTAGGTGAGACATCAATTTTTTCAGGGGAGACAACAGTTTCTTCCAACATAGACAAGACCTGCGCCCCAGCAGTGGGACATTAATAGGCTGATGAAGATGACGTCTTTAGAACACCACATCGACTCAGTTACTTAACATTTTCATGCAGTTTGCATTTTATGAAGATTTGTGTTATTTGATAAGCTTAAATAAGCAAAGCCGCATGTTGTCTTTTACTTCTTTATTTTATCAACATCTCAAGTCATACCTACTAACTAGGTGTTTAGTTACTAGTATTTATTGATTTCGATTGAATTCACATCTATACTGAAATTACTGAATAATAATCTACTGTTTCTCAAGCGATACAAAATATATAATTTTTCAAGCATTTGTAATAAATACTTCAAAACATTTCTATATATAATAACTACGTAAAAATATTTAATGTGCTTACATTTTTAAAATGGTATAGTAAATATGCACGTCTACTTTGGATCGTGGCTTTTATCCCATTTTTTTTGTTACCCAGGCGCGATAGTTGGTGTGAAATCCTCATGGATACCCTAGGGTTAAATCTATATCCAGCCTTTTCTGACTAAAATGCCTCAGTGGGGATTTATTTGGCCTTGTATGGGCTAAAGAATAAGGGCTAAGGGCTGTAGGCACCTTAAGCAGACTTTTATTTCTACACTCTCCAATTAGCCAAGTAAGTAAGCACCAAAGTAACATAGGGAGATAATCGACCCTAAGAACTAGCGCTATCCTGGCCTGCAAAACCAAGTACCTATCACATTTGTTTTTTTTTTCTAAATATTAGAAGTTAGAGATTTAGAATAAAAAACGTTTTATTACAAATTTAATCAGCTTTCTTTGAAACTGTAGTACAAAATTAAACTCATTTTAGAGTCCATTTTATCTCGAAAGTATACATATCTTGTGTAGGTACTTAAAAAGTTATTGCAATTTTAAAAGTGTGATACTTAGTTTTGCAGGCCACTATAGTACGTTTCTTAAGTTTTCACGCACACCATTCATTAAATGGAACACCCTTAAACAGGTTCAAAATGTGACTTTATAACTTTTTTGACGTTTCGCATGCTATTCAGGCTGCGTCGTCAGAATTTTGACGAAAAAGACGCATTTTGAACCCGTTTAAGCGTGTTTCATTTAATCTTGTACAAAGTTAAATGGAAAAGAAGTGCGAAAACATTATATTTTTATATAAGTATAAGTGCATTAAAAATACATTCAATTAGCTATATTTTTTGTGGAGCCATTAGGTGAAGCTTTTGAACAGTATAAGCAGGTGGCATCGACTAGGAATTCTCATTAGCTATATATTAACATATACATTAACTTCAGCGAGGAAATAGCCAATAGTTAGCCGCTTCCTCGCTGGCGGTCGGACAACTGCCTTAAGACCGTCGAATTTCGGCTACTGGACTACCATTACTTACCTGTATTATAAACTTTATTATTTATATTCCTTATAAATGAATGATTAAAAAAAATAAGCTGTGCATACAATTTTTAAGTTTCGGTTATGTCATGCTATTATTAAAGTACAATTTGTTGTTTCTATTAAATCCCGTCATTGTTAGTTGAAGGTACGCCGTGATGTAGACGAAAGTAGAGACTGCCGTTCTAAATGTCGTGGCATTGTCCACATAAAATATTCCATAAAGAGACACCCGGCTGTCTATATCGCGCAGAGCCCAGAGAAGACTTTTCGTCAGCGATAGCATTTTTTCTGTTGAATGTAAAATGTATTTATATTTCCTATATAATGAATGTTAACATTGTGCATATTTTATATTTAAACTATGCTTGTTATAAGAATAATAGTGTTACGATTTGTTCGTAGTATTATTTCTTCTTAAAAACACAGCATCTAAAATATAAGGAAAACCATGATTCCCCATTTTCTTTGACTGCAGTTCGTGTTATAGGTACTTATAGGAAGCAAGTAAAATGAACACATTAAACAGTACCCTTAGCACGGACCAGTATCGAATTCAAATAGTTTACGAGTCCGAAATGTCAATATTATGTGTGAAAATTTGAACAGCAGCGCCATAACGTACGTAACAAGAACTAAAAGTCAGTACGAGACACATCTGACAATAACATTTCGTACTCGCAAATTATTCGAATTCGATATTGGTTCGTGTTAAGGGTAGGTACTGATTTAAAATACATTCCCATCATGTGGCAAACTTTTGCGACATCGTGTATAATATTATACTATGCTTGATGTTTTGTTCATGTAGGGTGGCTGTTTTCTAACTGTTATAAATTAGTTGGATTGAGCAATGTACTTACAGTTAATAATAAAGCCTATCTTAATACTGCACTAAACTAGCTTAAAAATATTAGAAATAAAGAAATGTACTCCATTACCTGAATCATTTTCTGTTAAATGAACATAGACACATATAAGTTTCGTTTGATATATTTGCTGAGAAAATGTGTCGACCATGCTTGTTATGAACAGACAAAAAAACCAACTTAAAAATAACCACACAACTATGACTGATTTTCTCAAAACACTGATAGTCTGAAAGTAAAATTTAAAATATCTATATGAAAACATTCTTTAGTACATTATAAACATTGACGTATTCACAATCACGCTCAATAAGTGTCGGAAGCAAAATTACGCTAATTCGCCTCTTGTGCGTGAATTTCCAGTCGTGTTTGAAAATTCTCGCTCGTATACAATTGACATTGAACCTTACTGCCACAACATAACAGAGTAAATTTGAAAGAATGTCTTAATGCTATCTGTATAAGTTGACATTATATAATGCCGCTCGGACGTTTTTTGATGCTCTTTTGTTTGGTAATTGGGTGTCTACTTGTTTTTATTCATCAACTAGTGTCCCGCGCTCGCTTCGCTTCGGTGTAGAACTGTAGCGTAGACTGAAATGACTCTTTATATAATTATAAAAGAAAACTGAAAATGGTATATTTGCCTTTTCCAAACTTCTTTTGACATCACGTCACTCCTTCCCGGAACGGTATTAAAGTTCAAATTGACTTTTAAGTATTATTACGAATCGTTTGTATGGGAGTATAGAAAAGTGTTGCTTTTGGACTTATTTAGGCATTTTTTGTGAAATTTTCTCTGCGTTAGCACCATCCTCGTACTTCAAGGAATATTTTAAAAAAAGAATTATCGAAATCGGTTCAGCTGTTCTCGAGATTTGCGCTTAGCAACACATTCAGCGATTCATTTTTATATTATAGATAGATGTTTAAGAATGAACCAAGTAGATAAATGACTCTAATAACGGCTTAGGGTGCGGCCAGAGTGCACTCCTGATTCAGATTCAGATTCAGACTCAGAAAACAAAGCGCGAGAAAAAGCAGGCAACCTGCTTAGACTACACTGTTTATTTCTCGCGCTTGTTTTCGGAATCTGAATCTGAATCTGAGTGCACTCTGGCCGCACCCTTAGACTAAATACGCCCGGGTTTGTTGATCTGAATGATAAATCAATCTTGATAAATAAATATTTAAGAGTGGTCATGGCAGATTTCTCGCTCGAATTGGAGCGCCCGTCTGTGGAATTAACCTTGACCTTATAGAAGACCATAGTAAATGACATTAACTTTTGGTGGTGCTCCGCGGGGTTGGGGATTGGGTCAGGGTATGCAACGACGCGAGTAGCTTTGGTATTGCAAGTGTCTGTGGCTAGGGTGGCCGCTTACCATCAGGGGGCCATTCGCCTAACGGGATTGTTTTGGAAAACACTATCGTATTATATTAATATATATTTCATTTTGTTATTTCTGACCGCCGAAGGTTCTCAAATACCTCTTGCTCATTTTCTTTAAAATTGTTATTAACAATGCAAGAGAAAAAGAAGAGCGCGATACATTTGAAAGCCTCAGGTGGCTAGAAATAACAAAATGAAATGAAATCATAAGCGATAGCGTTCCCCAAAGCAATCCCGTTAGGCGATGGGCACCGTGGCGGGCCATTTGCTTGTTCGCAATCTCTTTAACATATAAAAACACAAACATGTATTCTTACCATTTCATCGTACGCTATAATTCCCTGTACAGTAAATAAAGATCCTACTACAATGGTCGTCACTCCAATAAAAATCTGTAAATAAATAAATTCAATCGTTAGAACGTAATTTTATTCATCTGACATCGTCTGGAAATCTGAACAGAGGCAAGTTACTTTTCATCTTGATAATTCAAACTCAAGTTCTCAATGTAAATTATTAAATTGTAATATTTGAATAAAAAACAAACTATTTGTAAGAAACATAAATACTCACTATAAAATTGTAAGACTTTTGAAAACAATGAAATTGATAAAGGATCAACTTAAGTGCTCTCAAAAATGTTTCATTATCCTTCAGGGGTTGTATTTGATTGTCATATGTTTTTCGCCAAAATATCCTGCTGAACAATGTGGTAGGAATATGATCCAGTCTCATTTTGGTGGTTTTCATGATGGCCACATTAAGATATCTAGCTCTCAGTGATATAAACATGGAATGACAGAAAAGTAGAATGAGATCATAAAATGCACAGTAGGCCCAAGCGAAATATAAGCTACCGGCCAAATGTATGATGTAGGAAACCTCAAATGTCATGTATAGGGAAATTATAAGGATCACCTTATTTACTAATACAGGTAAGGATAGGAGATGGAATATATATTCTTCAAAACTCCGCAAAAGTTTTGTATTGTTTTTTCCAAGCAGTAGATCAAGTTCAATACAATTGTTTATGAATTCTGCGCCAACATGTCTGTTGGCGAATGTTATTGTAATCACGAACAAAATGACTAAAAATGATAATTGAATCATTATGATGACTTCAGCGTAGTATACATAATTTTGAACTACTGCTAATTCGTACAAAATGTAAACACCCACAGTGACAGCCAATATTATTATAAATATGCCATAGATTACGGAACTCCTCGATTTTTTCATAATTTGTCCATTTTTAATAGTATGTCGACTATATCCTGCGACTTTTAACATCAAATGTATAATATTACTAAATCTTTTGGTGTATTCTCTTGTTAACTCTTGTCGTTCTATATACTCCGTTGACATTTTAATTATTTTATTCGAAGTCTTGCAATACTACGCGGCGGACTAGTCAGAATAAAATAAGTAAGAAATTCTCTTGATTTTAAAATGACGAAGGAAATAATTAAGGGAATTAAAATCAAATTAAATGTCAATTTACAGATAACATTCCATTTTCTCAATCAATTTAGTGCAACTTAGACATGGGGTTTTTAACTGTAATTATGTCCCATGGGGTTGATTTGGTATGATATGTCGATATTAGGGTGGATCGAATCGCGTTTTTTCTGCAATACAATTTTAATAGCATGTGCGACTGGCTCCCACTGATCGGACAACCCAGCCCGGGGGTTTAGACTACCACTATCTACCGCTTAAGGGTCTACCTAGCCCGCGGTAAAACTTAGAAGGTATGAACTAAATTCTAATGGTAAAAGAAAAGGGACGATTTCGGGAATCGTTCCTTTTATTATAAATCCTAACATTTACCAATACATATCTATAAATTCTAAGATTTACAAGCAAAACCTAAGATTATCCCTTGCTTCCTCCTTCCTTCCAGCTTAGGTTGGCAGTTCGAAAGTCTAAATATCTAGATAAAATTTGAAAATGTCGGGATTTTGGAGTTTTTATCTGGAGAATGCCCCTCCCTCCTTGCTGAACGACCCCTGTTATACCAAAAGTATGTAGGTCAGGGTAAACGAAAGGTGTATCGTCATGTTGCTTTTTCGGGAGATTTCGTAATTTTCGGTAGTCGGGAGATCGGTTAGTATATCGGAGGCATAATTTCCGATAATTTGGCAACCCTATAGTTAAGCTTATGCTTGCTACTTACTTACTTTAATTTTGATTTGAATCAGAGCCGCAGGGTTGCTTTGTGATCACAGTATTGTATAGGTGATGTTGTTAGCATTATCCTTAAATAGCCTATGGTGGTATTTTAACCCGACACCACACGGGTACCAATACCAATAAACAACTAATAAGTACATATTTGTCATGTCATGGTGGTCGAAGTATATAGTAAACAAATTACGGCAACTATCTAATATCATATATTGTTGACGGGAGCATGTAGAATGTGGTCGATTGTGCTCAAGGGCTGACTAGACTTTTAAGCGAAAGATAGCAGGTGTTTTAACCCGTGGTTTGAGTTGACCCTCGGTAAATAGTGGTGGGCTAAGCCCGCGGGCTGGGTTGACCGATCACTGGGGCCGAGTCGCCCACAACAAAAAAAATTTTTTGGTTAACTGAACCCTCGGGCTAAGCGGTACGTTGGCTCAGTTGTGATGAAAAAAATGCATAAATTACAAAAAATCATATTTTGTTCTTATTGTGGAAAGGGCTTTTAAGAGTGTCCTTAATGCATACAAAATATAATAAAACCCATTCTTGTTTTACATCATTCACGCAAAAGGCCGAACGTTGCGGGTGGTATCGTAAAAAACGATATTTCATGATTAAATCTAAAGAGAATATAAATAGAAAAAATTCCACGGGGACCAGACTCGAAGCCGCACCCTTCGCTATTATTATATATCACATATATAGTATATATTATAACTATAATTGCTATTTCTTATTGCAAATGTTTAATACTTGTAAAAGTATTCATTTGACATTGTGGGTTACTTACAATGGCAGAGGAGATATTCGAAGAGATGGCGCTACCTTGCAGCTTAAAAATGGCTAGAAGAATTTCGACGCGGCCATCAGGGTCGCGGTAGCATAATTAGTCAGTGAAGGGTGCGGGTTCGAGTCCCGTCTGCTGCCTGGTCCACGTGGATTTTTTTGTAGTTATATTTTCTTTAGATTTAAACATCAAGCAGTTACATGCTTAAAAATATAGAAATTATAATGATATTTGATGATTTTCGACGATTTTTAAACATGTGCCAAAACCCATAAAACTGTTAATTTGTAATAGTGTAAAAGACATTCAAAATAGTTTTCCCAGTCCAGAAATAATACTTTCTGACCTGTTATTCCTTAACTGTATTCGCGCAAAAGGTCTAAAATTATAAATTTTAGTATAAGTTAAGTTATAGAGTAAGTTATGAGTCCCGCAAAAAATCGTTTTCTGTATTGAATGAGTGTTTATTTAATACATTAAGATTTGTAATAAGACTGTAAAAAGTGATTTACAAAAAATGTATTAGCCGAACATATCATATTATAGCTCTAAGCTCATTTCAACATTTAATCTGTGCTGAAATGACCCAGGACATACGGCGCGGACGTGACTGCAAGGTAGAGATGGGCGTTTTTAGATTTTTTTGAAATCGATGCGCATCGGTATCAGATAAATCGCATCGGCCCGGCATCGCATCGATATCAACTGAATGTTGATATCTTGTATCACAGGATACGATACAATATGAATTTCTACAGATGCGTGTTTTGTGTGGGTGTGTCTCTTCGATTCCTTGAATCAGGACTTGAAAATGTAATCGAAAACCATTTATTTACTTTTCGGTATGTTATCTGAAAAGATTGAATGTTGGCAAAATTGTTACATAAAAAATTTCACTCAGAGCGTAGGTTTTGAACGCAGGTAGGATGCCAGATTTGGATGCGCGCATCCGATACGACCGGATGCCGTGGATGCCGATGCCATCTAGTTTTTGTCATCGTTACTATAGCAACCGTGCCACAAAGTTTTTTGTGCCGGTGGCAAAAATTTGAACTACTATTTATCCATAGCATTTTGACATTATTATGACATATTTGTTCACCGCTAGCGACATCTCCACCGGCACAGATAAGTTTGTGTACCCAACCTACAAACCAGGGTGAATTAGATTTGCAATATTATTTACAGTGTCTATTTACTTTGTACATTGCACATATGTTCGTTGTAGGCAAAAGGTTATTTACTTTAATTTAAGTTGAATTAAATGTGAGCATCAGCTGTCTTGATTTTTAAAGTAGCTCTAATATAACCATCTCAATTTTCATGCCCGCACACTTTTTCAGCTGCTTCTGTAACTTAGATTAAAACAAAAAGGGTAGATACGGCACTAGCCTCATAAAAGTGATCCGCATCAATTGTGGCCTAAGGCCACAATCGCTTTAGTCACAACTTGACATGCAAATGACGTACATGTGAACGTCAAAAAGATATATTGCTAAAATTTTGTGATTATATGATAAAACAATGCCTAAGTGTTGTTTTAAAAAGTGCTCAAATTGCTCAAGAACTAAAAATAATACCGACGGCATCACTTTTCATTCGTAAGTACTATAAAATATATTTTTTCATAAAAAAAAAATGGTTGCCTGTAAAGTCGGTTTTACGGGCGAAGATTTTACGTGACAACGTCTTTTTCTCGGTAGAATATTTATTGATATGAATATAATTAAATTGCACAATAGGAACAAGGAATTGAATGAAAATAAGAATTGCACAAATTTTAACTACTTATAGAAATATATATAATACGTCAAAAAAACATATTACAATGCATTGTGCTTGTGAATACCATCGTAGCATGCAACCACGCTACGACGATTCGTAGCAAACTTGCTACACGGCTACGGGGTTCCAGCATGCTACGAGACTCATCGTAACGTTACCGAGCGTTACACTTTTTCATAAGTGACTCCCAGCCGCAACCTAATTTAAGACGTTGTCACGTCAAAATCTGTTTGTTTTGAATCTTATTCGGTATTTGTTATTAAGAAAAAGACAACAACACTTGTAAACGTTTGTATGAGGAAGAAAAAGCATAAGCGCGAATATTTGCCATTGTAATGTCAGTCGAGAGTAAAAATTGGGTAGAGTTAAAAAAAAAAATTCGTAATTTTTTTTTGGAATATTAATTTATGTAGGTAAAAAATATGCTGCATTTATTAAACTCATTACTTCCTGTATGTAGTTCTATCAGCAGCCAGCCGGAACAACTGTTCGACGGAGGCAATACCGGTCCACTGCCGGATATTCCGGAGCTTCTTTCGATTTAGAATGGTTCTATGTTTTGGAAACTAATACCAAAAGGATAGAGCGCGTGAAAGTTTGGGAGAGAAGGCTTGTAAAGTCACTTCTAAGTAAAAATTGTACCAAGACGTGACGTCATGGGAAATTTCATATCAACATATCTCTGTAATGTTTTGATTATGTGAATAAGAAATAAATACTTGTCCAATACTTTTATTAATCTACCTGGCCGACGAAGAAAAAAAGGTGTTGTCATCAACCCTATTGCCACACAGTAGGTAGGTACCTAGTAAGATTCTTACTTCTGTTATAAAGCCCAAGGCATAACTTATGTTTATTTTTATTTATCGATGATGATTATTGTTTTTGTTATTTAATTTTACCTATTTATTTTATTATTTAAATGAATAATTTAAAGTGTAGTTTAGATTAGATTTATAAAACAAGCAATTCATGCTTAGAAGAGAAATATAATAAGTGTTTCGGATTAGATTCTTTTAAATACTTTTAATCTTAAAAAATTGTTGACGGTATCGTATAAAAAACCTACTTTTAGTAGGTACGCTTGTTAACTGATTTTTTATCAGGTGATATAATAATGTGTGTCTG